TTGATGTTTATTGAGTGGTGTCAGAGTTTTGTGTTATACTTTTTATAGTAAAGAGATGTCAATCTCAAATGGGTTTGTTATTCCTCAGAAAACCATAGTCCTTGACTTTCCTTAATTAAGAACCTGATTAGTCTGGTAAGGGATTTCTATCCGTAAGTCCCAGGCCTTTACAAAGGTTCAAACCAAGTTCTATTGGAAACAAAGTGTGGAAGAAAGGGACAGTAAACAGGAGGTTGGACAAAAGATTTTACGAGGTAGAGACAAATGACGGGACAATACGACGCAATAGACAACACTTGCGAAATACTAATGAAAAGGACCCACATAATGAGCAGAGACCGGGGAAAAATGTGACGGGTCATGCTCCAGCTAACAGAGGGTTGACGCTAGTCTCGGGGCCTGAGGTTGATGCAAATGTAGATGTGAGTACACCACCACATAGTAGACAGGACTCGGAGAGTGGCGGAATACGTCCAGGTGGAAATGTGGGCTATGGTGTGAGGTGGATCAGGAAAATGCTTCCAGCTAGGTTTAAGGACTGGTATATTGTAACCAAGTAGATGTAAGGATACATCGCATGCTCATGTTTTGCATGTCATATATTCATTTATTGATGCACATTTATGTTTAAAGAATATTTACTCATAGATAGAGGTATGATAGTGAGATATTCTAGCTTATTTTGATTATCAACAGGTTTTATTAGTTTCTTTAGCTTGTCAAAAGAGAAAGGATGTAACAATTTTGAAATTTAGCTCTGTAAGTTAGCTGTACAAGTACTGTAGTTCAACATTGTCAGTTTTTTCTGTTGTTTGTTTACATCATACTGTAACTGTAACCGATGGCTTCTCTTGAGTAAAACCCGCAGAATTAAGTTGTGTCTCTGTCCTCCGAGTATTATGGCCATGTAATACAAGACTACTGCGATATCACAACAGTGTGTTTTCTGAATTTTTAGATATAAATGGAATTCATCACAGTAAATCAGCACCTTACCATCCAGCAACAAATAGTGAAGCAGAATGTTTTGTTTAAACACAATATGAAATGTAGAGGAGCTACCCCCAGCAATGTTATTACTTGTATTAATAAATTTTTGTTAATGTACAGATCAACTGAGCATGCCACTACTGATCAGACACCTTCAAATTTCTTGATGGGGAGGAAGTTGAGAAATAAAATGGATTTAATGTTACCTAATATTTAGGCTGAGCAGAGTGTAAAAGGTTGGAAACAGCTAGAGAAACAAGGTAATGTGGGAAGTTTGGGGACCTCATCTCCAGTCATTGTATTATCTTATAATGATGTAGATAAGTGGCAGCCTGGAAATATAAAACAGAACGTTGGTAACATGTGCAAGTTGGTGATAAGGTGGTCCAGCGCCTCATAGATCAGTTACGCCCTACAGCCATAAATGTACAGTAAGTGACCCTCCACCTGAAGGTGCTACTAGTAGTCATGCTGAAGACCTTGTACAATGTACATACTTCAGCAAACAATAGTGATGTGTGTCCTAATCCAGTAGCAAGGAAGGTAGAGTACTCCCTCCTAAAACAAGTAGAGGCATTCTGCCAGATAGACTAAATTTATGAGTGTACTATCCAGCTTATAAAATATATCTTTTGTCAAGGGGAAGGAATTGTAATATATTCAAAGATCTTAGTTTGTCATTAGAGGGGAATGTTTTATATTATCTGTAGGATTGGATGCTATGATGCAACCTATTCATTTTTATATCACCTTATATGTTAAATGCCTTCCCGCAATTCAATTTTGTTGGACGCTTGTATTAAAAAAAAAAAGTTTGTGTCTGTACTTATTCTTTTTGGACACTGTATTTCTGGCGGTTAACTGTGTGCAATAAACAAGAAAACCCACACCATGGACGTATAAATCATCCTCGTTAATTGAATCTCTACCAGAACATCGGCAACGAGAATGTGATTATAATACAGAGTTGTGACAATCATTGTTCCCGGGTATGTGACATAGCTTGGTTCATACATAACTGCAGCCATACACAAAAAGACAATGCCTAATGCACATGCATGGTGGGTAGACTTTAAAATGATAGTTACCAAGATGGCCTTTATTCAGACTAACCTAACCATTGACAACACAGTCCGTCATTAAGGTAGCAGTACCTACAGAATAACCAAGAGTGCATTTTTGGCATACTGCTGCTGTACCTTATCATGGAGGAACAAGTAAACCAGTGCATTTCTTTGTAAAAGTCAATGTAGGTGAAACCAAAATGGTGAAAATTTTAATACTGCACCATATACAGGTATAAGAATTAGAAGAAAATAATGAGGAGCCTCAGGAGAAATAAACTAGGTATCCTTTAATTGATAGCTTTAGTTTGTTCATACTTGCAGTAATAATATTATCAGCCTAAATGGTAAATTTTTCTTGTAGCTCCGTTCACTTGTAGCAAGTTAAAAATATATTTTTCTAGTGTATTTATGTGTGTTGAGACCGAATATGACCTTCAATTTGGGCGGAAATTAGCCGGGTTTTTTTAGCGATTTATTTTTCGTTTGACGTTTTCCGAGAAAAAAAAGTGCCTAAGCGACTAAGAAATACACAATAAAACACGAGAAAAACAATAACCAAACCAAACCTAACCTTACCTAACCTAACTTAACTGACTCTCACCATATGTATGGAATCACCTATTTCTTACCTTATTGGCGTGGTTCTTGTTCGTCGTTGCATTCTGGGATTCTTACACGTCACATATGTTGGTCTTTGCGATATTTACATTCAGTCTTGCTCTTAGTACACTTTACTGAGGTTGGAAGAACACCATGCGATAGAAAAAAAGCTATAAATTCGTCGTTTTTTTCCAAAAACTCGCAATCAGCTCCATATACTTTAAGTGACACCCATCACAGACTTCCATGGTCGGAACTGAACTTGAATTTCAAAATATGAGAGACCAAAAAGAATACTCGAATCTGATTGGGTCAAGAAAACCGCAAATTAGACCCAAAAACATTTTAATTGGTTTCAAAATAAAAAAGGCTTTTGATTAGCCGCATGACGTGTACAGCAACGCATGTGCAGGATGATTTATGAAGGGGACGCAGGAGACACGCAGTGTTGGAGGAGAGGCAGACGATAATGACGCGATGTTAATGGAAGAAAATAGAAAAATTTTTGGAAGAGCTATCTCCGTTATTATGCATTTCCGCCAGTAATGTAATAGATGAAAATTATCTAATAATTAGACGGCTTATTCGAATATGATAATAGATTAGTGGTAGGAATGAACGGAGCTACAAGAAAATAATACCGCCTAAATTTGACCAGTACTATTTGTTAACACAGTCCAACACTAACAAAAGATAGATTCTTTTAAAACACAAACAAATCAATATTATATAACTATTACTACCTTTCTTTATGTCCCTGACTAACCTATGATATCATTACCACAATAATATATTACCTATCTCAGTACAGTAAGGTCTACCTCCCATCTCATTCTACCTATATATCAACCCTCAAAACAATCGATAAAGGGATATAGATAAAGTTCTTATAATATCCGAGCAGGATAGGACTAGAACAGCAGTTCCAGTCCGACTAATTAATTACCCAAATGTAGCCAAATATAGCCGAATGAAGTCAAATAATGGTCCTACATGAATAAATCGGACTGCTAATCACTTCTCGACTAGTATTTGGTGTCAGAAAGTCACAAAAAATTGGAAAACTTACTTTAATCTGAGTTAATAGATCGCGTGCATGTACCGACGGAGCGAGGAATTACCCAAATGTAGCCACAATGAAGTCAAATGATGGTCGTACAAGCGTAATTCGGGCTGTGAATCACTTCTCGATTATTATTTGGTGTCAAAGTAAAAAAAATTGGTAAACTTAATTTAATCTGAGTTGTGTTGTGTTAGTTAGTTAGGTTAGGTTAGGTACATGCACTTGATCTATTAACTCAGATTAAATTAATACTAGTCGAGAAGTGATTGGCAGTCCGATTTATTCATCTAGGACCATTATTTGACTTCATTCCGGCTATATTTGGCTACATTTGTGTAATTAGTCGGACCCACGGATTCAAGTTGGATAAGTTTAGGTTTAGGAGGGAGATAGGAAGAAACTGGTTCACAAATAGGGTGGTGGACGAGTGGAACAAGCTTAGCAACTTTGTAGTAAGTGCGGGAACTCTGGAAAGTTTCAAAAGGAGGCTAGATAGATTCATGGATGATAGAGAGTGGTAGTAACTCTCGACAGGAGCTGCCATGCACAGGCCAACTGCAGACTCCTTATTTTCTTATGTTAACTATCTCTTCTTAAACCACATGGTAAGCAGAATGGTAGTTGGTAATACTGCTTACCCTGGTAGTTAATGTAGGTACACAGTAATGTTTATCATCTCGCTCGTGTTATCATCATAAGTTTGAGCTAGGTCTAAAAAAAATCAGCAATGAAGTTATTAGCGAATTTAATCTTGAAGGGAAAGATGGTGTATAATGTCAATAATGGAAACAGATAATGTTAACATTCATTAGTTTTCGCCAACGATATGTGTATAGTTTGGTAATAATGGCAAATGTTCGTGTTCAGACCCAAGTATTGGCCCCAGCTTCACTGTCCAAATTTCAAAAAGTACAAATAATTCGTCACAAATAATCTTGAAAAATGATTTATATATACTCAAGGTTTAAGGCACTGTGTTCATTATTACGAATTAAATTGTTTGACATGCGTAAATCGCCACCATGCGGCACCTGGGGCCAACAAACGCACAACAATTCCAGTCTTAATCATCTAAATTAAAATCATTTAACAATAATAAAGTGGTGGCGCTTCCATGCATGGCAAAATGCGGCGAAGAAAGGATTACATAGGCTTTATAAACTTCCATCACCAATACTCAAGCAAAACGCCAAGTGACGCCAACAACACCACGCGGGAGGGGTGACGCGCAAACATGGCGTCACGCTCATCACCCCGCCGCCGGTTCCTCCCGGTCTTACCTCCGTCAGACATCACACAGCAGCTTCTGTTCTATGGTTGTTATCGTCACCAGCTTCCTCTCGGTATTTCCCAGCAAGAAGAATTACTCGTTGCCACTATTGACCCACAAAGTACAATGAGCGGTGGTAAATACTAACCCGAGTGCTAGGTGCGTCACCCTAGTGGTCCCGAGGTGCGAGCGTCTGAGGCGGCCTGGCGGAGGGAGTAACGCGGCGCCCTGCACGCGGACCAATACACCCGCGGCAGGTTTAAACATTCATTCAATATTTCACTGAGGAAAATAATAAACAAAGGACATATGGGAATAGAATAGAATTATATTAATTATTATTAAGAAATATAATAGTAAAGGCGTTGCCTTAACCCGTATATAATGTACTGTACATTATATATGGGTGTACATTATATACGGGTGTCGTTTTAAATGTACATTACGTACATTTAAAAACTACACTTTCTGGGGGTTAGCGCTTTGTGTCCTGGCGGTGGCAGCATCCAGCCCCAGGTCCAACTTGCAGAGGAGAAAGAGGAAAGAAGACGGAAGCACACTAGAGATCAGTGTGCCCGGGCAGATACCTAACTTGAAACCAGACTGGTGCCTGCACTACGGTACCTCAGCTACCCTGAGAGATTGGAGCGCCTGAACTTGCCTAGCTTATACTACAGACGGGCAAGAGGTGACCTAATAGAGGTGTATAAGCATCTCAAGGGGCACTACTCAGTCCAGTGTCCTTACTTGGAGCTGGCGGACGCTCGCCCCACAAGGGGTCACAGCTCAAGATTGAAGAAGCCGCAGGTCCGAAAACTGACGGCAAACTTTTTCGCAGTGAGAGTTGTAAACTCTTGGAACAATCTGCCAGAGAGTGTTGTGGCGGCACCGAGTGTGAGCTCTTTCAAGACCAGACTTGACCAACAATGGAGCAGGTTCAGGCACATTCAGGAGCCGGTGCATGCCCAGTACTTGCCAACAGTGCGTAGCAGAGACGTGACCGATCGCCCAAGCGGCTAACGAGCCAATCAGTGGTGAAGAGGATAAATGTAGACAAGTAAAAGCAATAAGCATATTGTAGGGTATTTTCCTTGAGCCGGAAGAGCCTGGGGTTGACGATACCTATAAGTGCCCTGTCCCCCAGAAGCTTGACGAGAGGCCTTTTGAAGGCATCATACAACTGCCAGTAGCTCCCCTTTCCTTAGCAACGTAGCCTGCCTCAACAGGCCTGCCTCGCCCCCCACTTTTGCAGCAGAATGGCGTGTCGGCGGAGGAGCAGGTGCAATGCTGCTGGAGGTCGACAAAACCAATTCCTTCCTTGCTCCAGTCGGTGACGGCGGCCGTGGGTTTGGTCTTGTCATAATAAACTCGGCCATCTATGGCCAGACGGTAGATGGTGTCTTGAGCCTGACGGAACTTAGCCTGCAACTGGTCATCAAAGTACACCTTTTTCCCAGAGGGCTTCTTGAGGAGCTCTCTGAAGGATTCCATGAAGGGGCTGTGGCAAGAAACGGGGCCAGCTGGTTGACAAAGCCGTGCCATGACTTGATGTCCATGATAGTGGGCTGGGCGGGCATGGGGAAGTCTTCAATGGCATATAGGAGGTCGTTGGTGGGTTTGTAGGAGTCCCAACTGAGGTGAAACCCCATGAAGTCAACCTCCTTCCATCCAAACTGGAATTTCTTAGGCATGAGGGTTATTATTTAAGTGCGCACGTTACCATTAAGTCACATGTATGCCAAAATGCCTCCTCCACATCACTGGAGTCGTACAGAAGGGTGTCGTCAACACACTTGTATTTCCTGGGTACATCCTAGATGGCATCATCAAATCTGCATGAGTATGCATCAGATGTGGAACAGTGGCCCATGGGGGTCCTGTGGTACTAGTAACTACCCCATGTCGTAATAAAGGTTGTGAGGCAGCGGCTCTCATCAAGCTCCACATGGTGACAGCCCCAGTAGGCATCAGCGACGGTTTTGTAGGAGTGCAGTGGGACTCCGGACACCATATCTAAGAGAGCAGGTGTGGTGGGTTTCCCGGAGGCAGCAAGAGTTGAGGTGCTGGTAATCCACAGTACACCTAGGGTGGTGGTCAGACTTCTTGGCTACCACCACCACCATCCTGGCACACCACTCGCTAGCCTCCCCAGCTGAGACAGGCTGGATGACACACCTCCTGACGTCTTAGTCAAGTTGATCCTTGACCTCCGCCTCCCAGTGTCTGGGCACAGATGCCGAGGTATGACAGGCATATGGCTGGGTCACGGCTTTACTATGTCTCTAAATCCAAGGTTAAATATACAGGCTAACCTGAGGTCTGACACAGATTGTTCTGTTCTGTAGTAAAGATTCATGTGCTGTTATATAATATTGTTTTACATCACATATTGTGGCCACTATTGTTGTACTGTACATCACTTATTGTGGCCACATTGGAAATTGTTTACCTGTAATGTATATGAACAGTAGCTAAAAAAAGTATCAGTGCAGAAGTTGTGTGAAACAATATACCACAGACAATAGGTATTGGGATAAGCATGTTGTCTCCTTATACTGTGAGATAGTAAACACTTAACTGTTTATTTTATTCCTATATGCCAACTCACCCGTGTTGGATACTGAATGGCGGTGGATGTAGACACGCATACCAACCCTCCCAAGACATCACGAGCTGTACGTACAATTTCATTAATCATCGGACCCGCTCTGTCAGATACTTTTTTTTAACTACTGTACATGTTGAATTGTATACAGAACTTGCATTGTCCTGATACCTGTACTGTACCTACATTCTGTTGGTAGAAGAGACATGTTTCCCTAGGCTGGTGATAGATAGCAAAATGACCTGGATTACCCACCTTAGGTCACGTAAAATGTCATGCTTAAAAGACCTCAACCATATGAGGGTCTTATCCCAACCGTCCTGAGGTGCCAACCATATGACCCTCTTGTGACTGTATCATGCTATCGTGGGGTTAAAGCTGGTGTATGGATATGAGCTGTATACTCTTCAGCCACACCAGCCAGGCTAAAGACCATCAAGCTGGCATCTGTTTGGCCACAGGGGCCTTTAGATCCTCACCAATACCCAGTCTTCCGTTAGATGGTGAAGTGAGTACAGTACCACCACTGGATATGCATCGGCAGTCCCTAATGACTCGCTGCTGGTACCGAGTACAGCATCTCAAAGGTGCTCAGCGAGAGAAGTTCAGTAGCTGATGGTGAACTTTAATTTTTTTTAATTGCAATAGAAGTACTTAATTGCTAATTATTTTTAAATAAATCCGGGACTTTGTATCATTTTAATTTTGATATACAAACTAAATATAATTTTATTTTATTTTTATCATATTTTTAAATTATGAGTTTCATTTTCGGCTTCAAATGGCTAGAGGCTGTGACGCCAGATATTTTACCTAATCAATCAATCAATCAACCAACCAACCTGTATTGTCCACATACCTGCAATGCCTATATGCATGCTGAACTGTATACTTTATCTGCATTGTCTATATACTGAACTGTATACCTGCATTGTCTATATGCACGTTGAACAAATAGTAAACTTGTATGGTGTATTTACTGAATGAATATCTATCTAATGTGGTATAGTGTATGGAAATATTTTGAAATATTTTGATTCATCACAGGTGTTACTCTGTTGCAGTGTGAACCAGTGTGGGGTGGAGGTAAATATAAACTTGTAGACTGAGGTGTTAAGTTGCAGCTCTGGAAGAATGACAATTAAGTACAAACCAGAATACACTTATACAGGATACAGTATATTCATTAATTGGAAAAAAAATACACTAGTATGATAATGCAGAATGATTTTTGAAGGTGCCACATGTTCGGTTACTAACTATATATTGAGTACAAAGTGTCAAGATATTCTACACAAAAAATTGCTTAGCAGTTTTGTACAGTAATATCCCTGATAGCCGGAACAATTAGTGTAGAATGTTTCCCTGTTCGAGAGACTTTTGGAACCGAGACAAATCCTTATCCCTGGAAAAAGCTGCACATCTACATAAATTTTTCCAGGGTTTGGTGAATGTTTCCAAGTCTGAACTACGTGTCTGTCTTGGAGCACTATTGCTAGGTGGGCTTAACTGCAGTCAGACACCACAGACCTGTGTTCATTTATGCAAACACTAATGCACAGGTACAGCATAGCATACAGTATATATAAAAATATACAACTGTACTGTACACATCAGCAGATGCTGTCATCTTCAGCTTGTGATGCAGGCAGGCCAAATGGTGATATGAAAATACAGAATGGCCTACCTTTGTCCTGTACCTTCTACTGTAGATGATGCTAACTGTCACTCTCCTCTCCCTTCATATAGGAGGGATTTTACACGTGCTCTATATTGCACGCACACACACACACACACACACACACTCTACACACTAGCCTACAGTAGGCAAACACTGTCCACTCTGCTATGTACTGTACAATTACATACAGTATTTTCACACATACTGAATGTACAATATATGTTAGTGTCCAGTAATCACTTTCTACATATTAACACTGCTATAATGGTATTCTTGGTCAGTTTTACCTTGGTACTGTACAGTAATGTACAGTACTGCACAACACAGATCATATGAGAACACAGTAGCGAGCAAATAAACAAACTTGTACAATGGCAGAAAACAATGAAATAAGTGCACATGATGATGCGAGAGCTTGGGGAGATAGGCTGCGAGATACATAAGCCAATCATACACATCCCATACTGTCACATATAGTAGCCAACTGCAGTGCATGAGCACTCCGAACCTATTATGACCTATGTTCTCTATGTAGCTACCCCACCCACATGCTTGGAACGTGCATGACACGTGATGTAATCACTGAGAAATTCATTTAAATGCCCAGAATGGAGAGATACTCGTATTTTTGGAATTTCAATTTAATTTTTTGGCTTTTGTAAAGTTCTAGGAATCAAAGATTCCAGCTATCAGGGATATTAATACATTGTAATGCATACTATGCATCTAGGTACAACATATTTGTTAAATAGAAGATTTATTTACTTTGGTAAACAAGTCTATCTAAAATATTTTGGACAAATAATAAACAAAGTACATTAATTCTTTATCTTTCTATAAAAATAAACTGTACACAAGAAAGGGCTGCTAAACAGGCTTTTCATTACTGCTTTTTTTTAAACATAATATTATTTATATATTGAGCAAGAAACTTCCAAGAGCTTTGCTTCCCAGTATTTTTTTTTTAGTTTGGCAATTTCTAAATTCCTCACATGCACAGTCTTTTCTATATCTAACACTTCCATACGCTTTTTATGCTCAATCCTGTGCAGCTCTAACACTTGGTCATAGGCATCTTGCTTTCCAGAATCACTAATACACTTTCTCTTTTTGTGAGCAGGAGTTCTTGGTGACTGGCTTGTGCTGGGTTCAGAAAATTCTGCTGATACAGTGCTGGTATTTAAGCTGGTTATGTTTGGGAGTGAAAGCACTGACGAAACTCTGACGGAGTTGCTTTCGTTTGTGGCAGATACCACACCTGATGCTGTGCTATGACTATAATTATTAATATCTGAGTGCACTGTTGGGAACTCTTGGAGGCTGCATGGATCTGATCCTGTGGTTAGAACTAAAGTATTATCAGAACTTCCTATAAATGACGGTGACACTGCTGTAACGGAAGTGTTAAACAGGCTATAATTTGAAGCTGGAGTCCCAACAAAGGTTGTCGTGGAGGTGTCTATAGTTTCTGGAGATTCTTCTTTTAGTGGTACAGGTACACAGGTGTCCAGTGGGTCCATGGTGCTTTCATCACCCGAATCCTCTGGATTATTTATAGCGGTCTCACACTTGAAGGTTAAAGATTCTGATGCAGAATCTGAATTTAATGAGATTTTTTACATTAGCTATAAGACTAATTTATAACAGTGAGTACAGCATATAAGGTTATAAAATAACTGCTTCAAATTCAGATGAAACTACAGGTTAAGAATCCTTCATACAATAATCTTGCAAACAAAAAAACTCAAAAAGTCAAAGAAATTCTTGAAGGTGCAGGTGATGTTGGTCACCCAGCTGACCTGAACTGAGCAGAACTCGCCCAACCATTGAAGTTGGCCTGGAAAACTTGGTTGTTTGTTAAAAAATTTTATAGACAGACATACCTTATTCTGATATTTGTGTTTATTTTGTGTTTTTGGCCTCTTATTTTAATTACAGTACAATAAAATAATAATAACAAAGTTTTTTGTTTCTCAAAAGTGCCAGTTCTTCTAAAGAATTCGCTAGCACTTGAAACACTACAAAGAATTGAGAATAAAAAGAAATACTGTACTACAATAAAAGATCACAAAAAGTGACAGTTAACTTGTATCATTCACATACCCTAAATCTTTAATACTTCCAAAACCTTGTAATTTTTCATCACTGAACCCTGTTTAGGATCATAAACTTTAAAAAGAGAGGTCTTAAGTTGTCTCTTAAAAAGGCCTCCACAGAGTCAGCTGCTTCATGGATGCAGGCAACTGATTGTACAATCTGGGTACTGTTTACGAAAAGGAGCGGGCAGCAAAAGAACATTCCTTTACTGCTCTCAGCTCCTAAAGGCGTGAAGGATCATTACTACGTAAAATCATTTCAGAATGTGTGATCAGTGGAATAGTAGATTGGGCAAATACTTAGGCTTACCAAACATTAGTTTCTTAAGAGTCATTAGACAGAGTTTGAACTCCATCCCTGTTTTAATTGGAAGCCAGTGTAAATCGATTAAGAATGGGGTAGTGGGAATCCTCGGTGGGAGAGCAAAAATAAGTCTGGCAACCCTGTTCAACACTGTTTGAACTTTTTTCAGTAGATAATTAGGTAGACAGACCAATAAAGAGTTATAATAGTCAACCCAAGACAATTAAGTGAATGTAATAGTGTCACAAGACACTGTCTATCCAAAAAAGTATAACAGTATACTATAGATTTCAAAAATGAAAATTGCAGCTCTCAATTACTGAATTTATATACTCTGTAAAATTCAGTTTGGAGTCAAAGTACAATCCATATTATAAACAGAATCGACAGGATTGAGTTGCACTTCCCTAAAGTTTAAAGAACTAAAGTCATCTGCGCTATCTCCCCTCCTATGAACAGTGTTACCATCTCTGACACTGAATTCCATCCAGTTACCAAATTCTATGAGAAATAAGATAAAATAAAATCTACCAATAAATGTGAGGAAAAAATGAAAAAAATAACACCAATAAAAAACAAACAACAAATACTGTACATGTACTGTATTGCCATTTGCCTGCTGGACAACAAAATTTGTCAATCACTTTACTACACACAGGTACAACCAAGATCCCTCACTCTCCCCTCCCCAGCTTTGTGAACTCTTCAAACACGAAGGAAGTTTATTCCCTTTTATGTTTTTGACCTTATGATAATTATATATTTTTACTCTGTAATGTAATATTGCGTGCGCACGTAACATGATAAAAGGATTAAGAAAATTACGTATATCTACCCGAAACTATGAGTTTAAATATAATCATAACATATCTAATGGCTTGCCCTGGAGTAGTAGGGAGAGGGCTAGGGGAATGTGGCTATAGTGACGTGTCTGGTGTTACTATTACAAATACAAAATTGATTAAAAAATACTGAAAAACAAGCAAAAATATACCAAAAAATTTAAGGATTATCATCATAAATGTATACCAACAGCCTACACGCTAAACCAAATTAAAGCTGAAGCAAACTGACAACTCCTTGTACCTCCTTTCCCAGCATTCAAAACCATACCACAAATCTTTATGTTAATAACAATTGTGTTACTTCAAACAACATTTGTATACAATCTAGATGAAAAACTGCAACTAAAACCATTAAGGAAAAATTTAACACAATTGCCATTTGCATAGATGCTGGCTACTTGGCAGCCTCAACACTCACCAGTTGCAATAAAAATGCAGCCTACCTGGGACACCACCTCTGCTGACTCCCTAGCAATGCCCCCCCCACCCTCCCCTACACTTCCTCCTGCTCCCCCACCTCAGCCTCCTAACTTGTGCACAGTGAAATGTTTATTCTCTTTGTGAGTTTGCTCTTATGATAATTATTTCTTGTACTATTTCTTTAACACAATATATGTACTGTAAGTGGAATTGTGTGTGCATGTAACTGAGTAAAAAAAAAAAAAAAAAAAAAATACATATATCTGCCCCAAATTATGAGCTAAAAAAATAAACAGAAAACCCCACAGCTCGGTAAGGTTAGCCTACCAGGAACGTGTCCCAGGTAGCTACTATTCATCGTAAATGACCCACGAAAATAAATGAATTTTATTCCTTCAAAAATACTATGCATATATGTTTGACCCCTTACTTGAGTATACTGTACACACCCATATCATCCACTATATCTCACACTGCACAAGGCCATCCATACACATACATTCTAGAAGCAAAAACCTTACTTACATCTATTAACACTTTAAATAATAAAACAACTAAATTACCTGAAACTACAGCTCCTCCCTGACTTACGACGGGGTTAGGGACCCAAATCCAGGTCGTAAGTCGAAAATGCGAAAATAATACTTAGAAAATCTAAAATGGGTGTCTCTTTTTCTTCTCAGCACCACAAAACTCTCATTTTAAAGTGAATTACAAACGAAAATTTTGTCAGTAAACAGCGCAATCACTGACGTTGGGACTCGAAAATACGTAATTTGAAAATTTTTTGGTACGACTGAGGTAGGTCGTAAATGCGGGTGGTTGTAAGTCGAGCATGTCATAAGTTGGGGAGGAGCTGTATATATTACTTGAACTAATTTACTATGAGTCTAAATAATCCAATCTGTTTAGTGTAATAAGCTGGCTGTTGTGCCTCCCTGCTGATATTGATGTCCAAATAACAGATTCCATCTGAGTAACAACATCGCTGTGGCTTAATTAGTCCAGTACTCGGTCTTTACTGTACTAGTAAAATAACTACAGTACTGTACCATGGTCAATATTACCCTCTGAAAAACTATTCTATTTAATATTACCTGTTTCTACAAGTGAACTGAAAACTATTACCTGTCTCAACAATTACTCTATCAATGTCAGGGAGGCAGAGATCAATCTCCCACTCGCCACTGTTATACTCCTCCTCCTTTTCCAAGTAAGGCATTAGTATTACAGTAAGGTCATCAGGGGGGTCTGGTTTATCCCCTTCTGTGAGGTTATTCTTCTCCTGTTTGAGCCGCTCATTGTCGTATTTTACTCTGGAAATACAAAATATCTATATCATGGAGTGCACAGTGCCTCTTCTTCCTTATGTTATAAAATACAGTACTGTACCTATGGTGTCTCCTACATTACAAACAGCTGCCCGAGGTAAATAATATAATGCATTCTTTCCAAGAAAGAAAAGTGTACTTGAGAGCAGAAAAAAAAAAAATCGTACTGTACTGTATATTCATTTTTAAAATCTCCAACTGCAGGTTAAATTTTCTCTTAGTTAGACAAAAACATTACTGAATTCTAACTCATATTACAATTACTGTACCAATGAAAATTTATATAAAATAAAAAAACTATTAATAGCAGTTTGGAAAGTATAGCACATGTATTATCAAATGTTTTTTTAACCAGTTTTAATCTGATTTTTTGTAAATTACATGAGTGATATAATTCATTACTCTACCATAATTTGTTTTCACATATACAGTATTTCAATAATTGAGAATACATCTCTATTGTGTATCTAAAATTCAAATTAACAACTTCAAAATCAAAGAGCTTTAACAGTTAAGATAATTACAGTAGCAGCAAAAACCCAAGTAAACATAAATAGATGAAATAATCACCATACAGAATAAGACTTACCTACAACATATATAATCCCATAATTTGCGCACCTGAACAATATTGTATTGATTTCCAGTGCTACTGTTGAACTCTTCTGTGATGTGCAGCCAGGCTTTAGATTTCTGAGCAAGCACTGTAAAACTGGACTCTCTGCTACATACAATATCCTGCTGCTCCATCACAATCTTAGCCAGGGCTTCTTTTTCCTCCCGTGACGATTTTTCTGGAGGATACTTGGTCACCTTGGGTACCAGAGACTGCACCTGTACATGATAAAGTAATATATTTGTTGCTGCATATCTTCTATGGCTACATTATTGCTTTCTTGTAATTACTATATTGTCCATTAAGGAATCTACCCAAAGAGAGTATCTACTGTGTGTAAACTTAATCTATAAGTTCCTTTTTGTCACATATCTGATTATCTTATTGACTCACTCTGGAAACAGTGTGTGAAATGTTGCCAAAGTGTGTGTGTGTGTGTGTGAAAATAAAAAGAAAAGTGATCTGCCAAAGATTACTAAATAATTTCTACACAGTATAATCAACGGCTGGTGATAAAACTGTAGTAGTTTCCTGTTTCAAAATGGGTAATAGCTCAATGTATAAAAGACACTCATATATCTTAGTTGAGTGCATTATGCAAATTAGGGAGAATGCAAAATGAATAATTAGGGAAATGAATTAAATGCCACCTATTACAGAGTGCTATAGTCATCCTATACTGTATAAAGTACAGTAGGTACTTATTGGAAGTATACAACAATCCTTTTAGATTAACTCACTGTACTACATTATTTCTTTAGAACCACAGACATTCTTGGGAACATCCAGGGTGTTATCCGCGAATAATAGAGGAATGCGAAAGAAAAATCAGAGAACTTGGGAGGCCCCCCTGTATCTACAACCAGCTGTCTGTGCCGCCGCTATGTAAACAAAGCCGCTGGGAATTCTACAGTATACACCTCAAATTAAATGTTAAAAATATTTTTATCTTTTTCTTATTATTGTACTGTACAGTACAGTATTGTATTTTGTTTGTATTTAATGTTTTGTTAATTCTATTACCGGTACAGTACTTTGTACAGTGAGTTCTGCTATAACGCGTGTTTTAACAATGCGAATTGGCTCTAATGCGATTTATAAATACTGTAGAGGAACGATATTTGTAAAACGCGAACGCTGGTTTGCTGTAACGCGATTTTTGCTTACTATTTCCCAATTTTGTGGTATTAATTGTGAATATGGTTAAGAAGAATATCTCCAAGCAGCTTTCTGGTGATCGCATTCCCGGTGATGATCGTAAAAGAAAGGCTATAACACTTGAAGAGAAGCTCGATGTTATCAATCTCAAAATCACCCTTCTCCCTCATCAAGTTATATTCATATATTTTTCAAGGTAAAGTGTTACATTTACTGAATGATTTCATTATTAGATATGAATGTAACATTTATTTAGACTGTGCTATCCTTTGTGTTAGGCTAACTTCTAAATTTTTTTCAATTTCGAGTAGTAATCTGCACCTAACCCTATTTTCTCCACAAGCCCTGTTATTTCTATTACACGAATTTCTATAACACAATGTTTTACAAGAACACAAATATCGCGTTATAGGAGAACTGACTGTATGTACTTTTTAGTTAATTTTAATGGAATTCTGTGAGCTGGAACCAATTATCCAATATCCCATTGAAATAATAGTTTCAGTTAATGAGTGACTCTGTGGAACTAATTGTGCTTGTTAATGGGGGAACCACTGTAATAGGTTGACAACCCTTTATCCGAAATTCCAAAAACCGAAAGTATTTTTTTTTTTCAGGGATTAGCCCACCCGGGCATAGATCACTGACCCACATCAGGGCCTGGGGGGCGAAAATGTAATAGTAATAGTAATAATAATTATAATAATTATTCATAGTAATTAAAAATTTTAATAAAAAACACACCAAAATAAAATACATAATAATGATAACAATAATACTACTAATAATAAAATATAATAATAAAATTAATAATAATAATAACAATATTACTGTAATAATAATAATAATAATAATAATAATAATAATACAATACAAGAATGAAAAAAAAGATCAAAAGTGAGAAACACGACCTAGACCTATGAATTGTTATTATTATTATAATTTTTATTATATTTTCGCCACCCAGGCCCCAATGTGGGCCAGTGACTTGTGCCTGGGTAGGCTAAAAAAAAAAAAAAAAAAAAAAAAACCCATTCTGAAAACCGAAAAATTCCGAAATCCGAAATGTCTCTGGCCCCAAGGATTTCGGATAAGGGATTGTCAACCTGTAATAAAGACTTTGCTGCATTTGGGACAGTGAACTCATTAGCCACAAGTTAAAGGGTTAAACTGGACAGAACAGGTGCATGTACCGTAGACTCTTCAAAATAAAGACAACAGCATAAAGTATTGTAAAAAGTTTGGGAAATTTTGGATCATCTGAAGATTAAACATCCTTGCTTCTTTCATATAATCATGAAACACCCTAATGCTAACCTATTCTAATCTAACCATATCCTATCTAAAAATAAAGTAGAGGAAGACAAATAAAGATACCACGAGCTACAACATGTCAGTATGGTTTTGGAAATACTGAGCTGAAGCCAAAACCCAAACATCTACAGGCATCTAAGAGGAGCTTACCTTGGCTTCCCACTCATTCATTTCAGAGTCCTGTTCGTCCTTTATAATGGAGATGACATCATCAACCAGTGGATCTAAGAGAGGGGGTTGGGATAAACCACCAATGGCAATGAGCTGCATCTGTTCAGCATAAATCTTCTTAGCTCTGGAAAACATGAACCAGAAATACAATAATATTCATAAACAATGCACACTGGTACAGTAAAACCTCAATAACTCGGCAATTGATAACTCGGAATTTCATATAACTTGGCATGGATATGGTCTTGAAATGTATTACAGAATAATTCAGGAATTGCCGAGTTATGTAAAATTATCTGGTAAAATCTCAGCACATCAGGTCACCTACCATGCATCCGTGTCACCTAGTATGATGCTTCATTCTTTGCCTGCAGTGCTGGTAAGTGTTACTTTTTAACATTTATAAATATATGGATCGATAATTTTTTACTGTTGTATTTTTGTATGAGGGGAAAGTGTCTTGATAAGTCGGAATTTGGTATAATTCGGCAAGGCCAAAGCCCCATATGTGCCGAGTTATTGAGGGTTTACTGTATATTATCAAGTCTCATAACATAGCAAAAGCATTCACAGTACTGTACATTCAAGCATTAGAAACAACTGAAAAATAATTGCTCTGACTTGAAAGTTCAAATAATGGAAATTTAAGTATTTTCTTGGAAGTTTGGTGAAAAATATTGTTTAGGGTTTAAAAAAATGAAATAACAACAATATTATTCATTTGCAACAGAAGTGTATATAATGAAAGTTACTCAGAATGGCGAGATTATCTATTGTATCAGTAAAAAATCCCAGATTCCACGGTTGTACAAAACTGAAAGGTAATGTCTGAGAACAGCATTACCACCAGGAGTTATTCAATTTCATTAAATTTTTACACATACGTTTTTGTCATTACAGTAATTATTTTAAAAGAGGCAACATTTACTAGAGCCTACCTAACCTTACTTAACTTTCTGGCCGGTAAAGACCCCCTGCCACTTTAAACAGAAAGTACTTATTTTTGTGGTTTCAATGAAAGTAACTTGTTCTTTCACAAAAAACGTAAAATTACACCATGACACTTTAATACATTTTCTCTCATTGGAACTACATGTCAAAATAAGTACTTTCTGTATAAAATGGCGGGGAGTCTGGACCAGCTAGGAAGTTAGGTAAGGTTAGGTAGGTTTCCTTCGTTGGTTATGTCAGGTTCTATTAGGTTCTAATAAATGTCTCCTCTTTTAAAATACCTACTACAATGACAAGAACATCTGTGAAAAAATGAATGAAATGAAACAACTCCTTCTGGTGGTAGCGCTGTTCTCAGACATTACCATACGAGGCTATATACTCATACAGTAGGTGTTTTATCCCAACCTGTCATTTACACCCAAGACAGAAATGGTTCTGCTTGTCACTTCCTCATAATATTTACAGTATGTTTTATTTCCCACTTATTCACGTGGTTAAATTTATACTTATGCAAATATATTGGGTAATTTAAAGAGGACACTGCTACCACCAGAAGTTGTTTGAGTTAATTAATTTTTTCCACAGGTTCTTATCATTATAGTAAGTATTTTGGTATTATTTCACTTGATGCCACTACACCATCTCAGGAATTTTATAGTTGCAATCAGTAGTTATGACAATTCTATGAATTTTCTTCAATGGCATTCCTAGCGCAAATTATATTTAAGCGAGATATTTAACATTTTATTATGTATGTTCGTACGTGGCGGTACACACCCAGAACATCGAATGACGTGGTGGTTAGGTTAGGTGGTAAATTTTTACTTTAGGACACAAGTCCATAGGGGTTGACCAATATGTTTTTCCCAGTGTATTTTGGTGTGTTTTAAACGAATCTGACTTCCTTTTTTGGCGGAAATTTATTGTTTTTGTCCCCCCACCCCCCCTAATAATAATGGAGAGCTTGGGAAATCAGGGGTTTTGGGTGGGGGAGAAAATGAGTCATCTAACCTAACAAAACCTAACCTAACTCCTAGCCGGGGGCAGAGGCCTAGCTTAAACTAACCTAAATGTTTCAGTAGTTTAAAACATTGGGGTGCACCATGTTCAAAAGTACATTACCTTAGTCAGAAGCGGAAGGACCAGGGATACGTAAGAATTGGATAGAACGATCGTCTTTCTCGTAAGACTCGGCATTAAACTTAAAATAATCATGGGAGCACAAATGACAACCAACCTCTATGACAGCCATTGTGAGATTAGTCAATGGAATTAAAATCATACCCAGGCTGCTTCCTTTGAAAAAAAAATCAAATTCTGACATGGAATGGGGGGAAAGGGGGGGGGGGATCTCAGAAACTATTGATCAGCGCCAGAAATGAAAAGGTCAAATTCGTTCTCAGAAATTACCAACTGATATAATACCTTATTAACGACAAAACTATCCATCAAGACATTTTATTTAATCACTTACTTCATCTTGATATGTTCCCAGATTTTGCGTATTTGCTTGGAGGTCTTTTTGCTGCCCATAGTGATAGAGTTGAAGGTGTTGGCTATGTCCTCCCATGCCCGCTGCTTGGAGATAATGGTCTTGTGGTCTGACACTCGGCGACACAGGACTTCTCTATGCTCTCTGACCAGCCCTAAGATAACTGCTCTTTCTGGGAGGGACAAGGAAGGAGCCCGTAATCGTGGAGCCATGTTGAATTGGTCCTGCCTGGCCCAGTGTCCCTCGTAAACAAAAATAAAATAATAAGGAGGGAAAGTTATGGGCCAATCAATATAACATCATGAGACAAAGTGAGAAACTGCCGCTAGGTGGTGGTGGTGGCGTTGCTTCTATCCTTCATCCATTAACTGGCACCTGATACGGTATATTTTTCTAGAGGAAGGACCTATTTCTTTATTGGGAATTCTGCATCTTCTGCTTCCCTGACGTGACAGACAGCTAGCATTGGTCATCCATAGATTATCAGGACTAATGATATACAATTAATGGTCAACCCTATGATAATTTTAGTAATTAGTAATTTGGTGATAACACTGATAAATGATTATTGCTGATAATACAATACTCGAAAGTAACTTGATTATAATTGATCATACTTTTATATGGATGAGACGTGATCGATCGCCCAAGGGCTAACGAGCAGATCAGTGGGGAAGAGGATAAGAGTTGCAAAAAAGTATATACCTGTGTGCCAACACTAGCCAGTACATGCCTACAGTGCCAACAGTGCCTATCAGAGAAGTTACTGACCTAAAGTGGTTAACAAACCGATAAGTGACAAAAAGGATAAAATAAAAAGGCAAAGGTGTAGATAACTGCTACCACCAGAAGGAATTGTCCGAATTGGTTGATTTTTTTCAACACACTAATATCATGATATTAAACACAAAAATGGAAACGATAATGCATAGAACCTAGTATAATCTGACCTAACATACCCATAGGTATGTTAGGTCAGGTTCTGTTAGGTTCTATGCATTATCGTGTTAATTTATGTGTTAGACAACTTACATTAATATTAAGAACATAAGAACATAAGAAAATAAGGAGTCTGCAATAGGCCGGTTGGTCTGTGCATGGCAGCTCCTGTCGAGAGTTACTACCACTCTCTATCATCCATGAATCTATCTAGCCTCCTTTTGAAACTTTCCAGAGTTCCAGCACTTACTACAAAGTTGTTAAGCTTGTTCCACTCGTCCACCACCCTATTTGTGAACCAGTTTCTTCCTATCTCCCTCCTAAACCTAAACTTATCCAACTTGAATCCGTTGCTCCGAGTCCTATCCTGCTCGGATATTATAAGAACTTTATCTATATCCCCTTTATTGATTCCTTTCACCCACTTAAATACTTCTATCATATCTCCCCGCACTCTTCGTCTTTCTAGGGAATGCAAGTTAAGTTTCTTTAACCTATCCTGATATGGAAGGTTTCTAAGTCCCTGAATCATTTTTGTCATTCTTCGCTGCACGACTCTAGTGAATTTATATCCATTCTATAATAGGGGCACCAGAACTGAACCGCATAATCGAGGTGCGGCCTAACTAGCGCAAGATATAGTTGCAATAAGACCTCTGCACTCTTGTTACTTACACTTCTAGATATAAAACCCAATACTCTGTTTGCCTTATTTCGAACATTAACGCACTGTTTTCTAGGCCGTAGGTCCGGGCTTACAAGTACCCCTAGGTCTCTTTCACAAGTCGACTTCTCTAGGTTGATGTTGTTCAGGCTGTATACATTATAAGTATTTGTTCTTCCAATATTAAGTACGCTGCACTTGCTGGTGTTGAATTTCATTTGCCATTTTTCAGACCACCCCTGCAGTTTATTTAGATCCTCCTGTAATGCATTTGCATCCTGCCCTGAATTAATTTGCCGCCCTATTTTGGTGTCATCCGCAAACTTGCTTATGTCACTGCTGATCCCAGTATCTAAATCGTTTATGTAGATTATGAACGAGAAACTTCTGGATGGTGGTGGACTAATGGAGAAGGTCCTGGAACATTCTCGGGTATGTAATGATGACGCACTTGCTGTACTTCTGCTTTGTGATAATTAAATCGTTATGATACCTCATATTAATAAAAAAATTCGCGATATGCTAATTATAAAACAAATTACTCGCAATGTGTCATGTAATGAGAGACGTGACCGATCGCCCAAGCGGCTAACGAGCCGATCTGTGGCGTAGAGAATAAAACAAAGAAGGATCATGTCTTGACGGAAATATATAATTATTGCAATGGTAATTTCTATCTACGTGACAATATATGCTATAATATCAACCACTGTAACCTCTCACTTTATTCTGAGAAAGAAACTAGTACTACTCATTAAAAAGTTACTTAGCTGCCCTGTCTCTTCACCTCGTTGGCACCTTAGTTATACCAGTGGTGTTGTATGGGATTTGTTTTGTTTTTTCCGTTATTTCATGACACATTGCGAGTAATTTGTTTTATAATTAGCATATCCCGGATTTTTTTTATTAATATGAGGTATCATAACGATTTAATTATCACAAAGCAGAAGTACAGCAAGTGCGTCATCATTACATACCCGAGAATGTTCCAGGACCTTCTCCATTAGTCCACCACCATCCAGAAGTTTCTCGTTTTCTCTACCATTCTCTTGCGACATCAGAAAACGGTATATAAGACCTGTGAGTTGAAGGGAAGACTCAGAGCACCGAGAACTGACACACGAGAACAACCACTTACTATCACCAGCATCTAAACAGAACGTCACCGTTTACCTACAGGAAGGAATAGTGGTTATACTGAAGGAGTCGACATGTTTCGTGGAGGTATGATAGCTGTAAATCCTTTCTCTCTGCCAGTGAGGATGGATCCTACACCCTGGTGGAGTGAGGAAGCTTCAGGCATGCTGGAGGGTTGGGGAGGTGGAGGCTTGGTGATGAGGCCCGGTACATGGTTCAGACCACAGAGCCGCTGTTGCTCCTACGATGACAACTTCGGCAGGCGATTCTCCATGACAAGGTTTCTGCACTCACCCCTCAGCAGTGTGGGGACAGTGCCTCCCTACCACAAGAACACCAACAAGTGTGACGACAGTGATAAGTGCACCAGCAACAGTAAGAACACAACATCCTGCCACTGTAAGAGAACCAGTGTTACCAATGATGACATCCCCAAGACAGCCAGTGTTACCAGCGACGATGTCACTATCAAGATAAACAAGGGAAGTGACGTAAGCAGCAGTTCCGCCTCCAGCAATAAGAAAGCTGGTGCAGGGGACCAGAAGACTCCGTGGCAGTTTGTGGTTGACGCGAGGGGGTATGAGGAGGTGAGGGCGGTCACTAACTCAGGGATGTTAACAGTAGAAGCTAAAACAAATCAAGGACACACCAGGATGATGGGGCGTTATTCCACCACACTGCCGCCACACGTCGACCCCGACACGCTGACGGCCACACTCAGGGACGGTCGACTGACTGTCAGCCAGAAGCCAGAGTCACTTGTTAATGTTGAAAAAGTCCTGCCCATCACCCCGGGTGAAGAAGCGATGACGGTAGGTGACACTCACCACCAAGATCTACCACAACATCTCGACCACGACAGTCAACAGGACCGGGAGAGCGAACAACAGCACAGTCAACAGGAGAAACAAGAACAACCCTCACCTCAGTAGAGAAAGATCTCAACAGTTTAAACAATTAAATATCTTAACAAAATGTTTTTATCCCCATTCCTTAAGATGTTGACAATCCCTTGATGTAAATAGTCTTATATGTTTTGCATTTGTCACTTAGATGACGTAAATATGTTGTAATGCCAGTATTGTCTATATTATAATAAACAAAATAAAACCTTTAAGTTGTTTACATTACCTGAAGAAAACCTTTATTTTCAAGATGAATGTTCTGTTTACAGCATGCATGATCATTATAATATAAAAACCTAACACAAGTAGGTCTGTGCTCCTCCACCTGGTGAGGGCAGGGAGTGGTGAGCCAAGCCTGGGAACCTCTCCTTCACGCAACATACCAGCGGTGACTCGGTGCCCTGTACTTAGTTCGCCTTACACCTTCAGGGCGAGATGATCTGCTAACTCTGGATGTCACCATTTCCACTCACATTATCTCTTACTTCCCTTCACACTAGCCCTTACTTCCTCTCACCCCTCACACTTCCCCTCATCCTCATTTCTCACTTCCCCTCACACTCGGTCACGGGGCCACAACAATCCAGTGGCCTTTGTCTTCACTCCCCCCTCTCTCTCTGTCTCATTCCCCTCATTCCAATTCCTCCGTCATCCATTTTCCTTTAACCCTCCTTCTGGTTCTCCCCTCTCCTATTTATAATTTTTGCATCTGTTTTCTCTTTCGTTTCTTTCCTTCGTTATTTCATTATTTCTGTTTCCCGTTTATCATATTCTTTCCACCTGTGTCTTCTTCTCATTTTTTGTCATTTTTCTTTTTACTGGTCTTTGTTTTATTTATCTTTTCGTTTGTTCTTTATTTTGCTTTCATTTACTTTTGTGTTCTTTCTTTCTTTCTTTCTTGCCTTTTTTTCTTATTCTAGTCTTTGTCTTTTCCTTCTACTGCATTCGCTTTCCCTTTCCCGCTCTTTCATTTCTTCTTCCATCTATCTCTATTTCCTATTATGTCTTCTTTCTTCTATCCTATTCTATTCCATTCTCATTGGTCGTGTATAACCAAAAAACAGAAAAAAATAAGTCATCGTACTCAAGGGGTTAAGTCATCGTTCTCAAGGGGTTAAGTCACCGTACTCAAGGGGTTAAGTCATCATACTCAATGGGTTGCGTCATCGTTCTCAAGGGGTTAAGTCACCGTACTCAAGGGGTTAAGTCATCATACTCAATGGGTTGCGTCATCGTTCTCAAGGGGTTAAGTCACCGTACTCAAGGGGTTAAGTCATCATACTCAATGGGTTGCGTCATCGTTCTCAAGGGGTTAAGTCACCGTACTCAAGGGGTTAAGTCATCATACTCAATGGGTTGCGTCATCGTTCTCAAGGGGTTAAGTCACCGTACTCAAGGGGTTAAGTCATCATACTCAATGGGTTGCGTCATCGTTCTCAAGGGGTTGCGTCATCGTTCTCTCAAGGGGTTAAGTCATCGTTCTCAAGGGTTAAGTCCGTTTCAAGGGGTTAAGTCATCGTTCTCAAGGGTTAAGTCATCGTTCTCAAGGGATTAAGTCATCGTCTCAAGGGTTAAGTCATCGTTCTCAAGGGGTTAAGTCATCGTTCTCAAGGGTTAAGTCATCGTTCTCAAGGGTTAAGTCATCGGGGTTAAGTCATCGTTCTCAAGGGTTAAGTCATCGTTCTCAATAAGTCATCGTTCTCAAGGGTTAAATAATCGTACTCAAGACAAATAAACGACACCACAGCTGTTCGACTTGATATCACGAAGACAACAAAACAAAA